AAGGTTTACTGAATTTAGCTTGGAATTTATTGATTTCATCCTAGGAATGTTGATTTTTTTTGCATAGGGGTTTATGATTTTGGTGGATTGGCATATTTTGGTTGACCAAACTGTTCAACAAGATGGTGAGAACAAAAATGTCTGATGAATGGAGTCAAAGTATTGTATTACCTAGTTATAGGAACAAAGGAGACATACAAAATTGTTTGAACTATCAAGGCATCAAACTTATAAGCTACACAATGAAGCTGTTGGAGAAAACGATTGAGCAGCAACTAAGACATGAAACTTGTGTATCAAAAAATCAATTTGGTTTTATGCATGGGAGGTTAACAATTGAGGCTATTTTTATATTTAGGCAATTGATTGAGCAGTTTAAGGAGAAGAGAAAAGACTTGCACCGGGCCTTTATTGATTTAGAAAAAGCATATGATAGGGTACCTAGAGAGTTAATTTGGTAGGGTGATGGAAAAGAAATAAGTCTCTAGAAGATATATCAACATGGTGGGAGATATATACAAAGGAGCGCTAATTAATGTGAGGATAACTAGTGGAAGGAAGTGAGTTTTTAGTGACAACAGACTTATATTAAGGGTCAGTGTTGAGCCCATAGCCCTTTGTTTTGGTTATGGATGAGTTAAGTAGGCATCTGCAGGATAAATTATCGTAGTGTATATTGTTTATGGATGATGTAGTTTTGATTTATGGGATTAGAGATGGCATCAACATAAAGTTAGAACTTTGGAGGGGTGTTCTGGAATCTAAATGTTTTTAAATTAGCCGGATTAAGGTAAAGTATATGAAATGCAAGTTTAGCAAAATTGACGGCCAAGAAGTACCTAAAAGAGATTTTTTTTGGTATCAGGGTTCGATAATTCATGAAAATGGAGAAATTGAGGAAGATTTTAAAAAAAATGTGGATATGTACTTCCGAAGTTTTATGTAGTCGTCGCATATTAATGAAACTAAAGGGGAAGTTTTGTAGGACAACTGTGAGACGAGCCATGCTTTGTGAGATAGAATGTCGGGCAATCAAGAAACAATATATCCATACAATGAGTGTAGCTGAGATGAGGATGCTGAGATGGATGAGTAGCAAGATAAAAAAGGATAGAATTTAGTGTGAATTCATCCAAGGAAACTTAGGGGTGACTTTAATAGGCGATAAGATAAGAGAAAGTAGATTGAGGTGGTGTCAACCTAGAACAACATCAGTTAGGAGGGGCTATTTGGTTCAAGTGGAAGGCGCAAAAGGATATGGATGGAAGTAGTGAGAATAAATATGGTGCCTTATAGTTTAGCGGAGGGTGTGACCATTGATAGTGCAGAATGGAATAACAAGATTCGTGCAGCTGACCCCAATTTCGTTAGGATAAGGCTCAGATAATGATGATTATGATTTCGACGAACTTGTGGTAGCAAGAAGGAGATGTGGAAGTGGTGCTCTCCTACATCTACCTCGTGATGCTAGAAATGGAGAGATTAAGGATGTCAAGAGGTAGGTGCAGCAGCTTGCACGACAATTTGTTGGCATCAATCATACGCAAGACGGTGATCTCTCCCCCTTCGAAGATTTCGAGTACAACCCTTTTCACTGACGTGCACTGTGTCAGAAGTCGAGTGAAGAGGAAAATGATAGAAGACCCTAGATGTGGGGGATATCACTCTAGAGTTTTCAATTTGAATATGGATATTCTTGAGTTTGACTGTTAGCCTTAAACCAAGGAGTTTATAGACTGGTTAAATACTGTAAGAAAAGTTTTTTATTAGAAGGAGGTCCCTGAAAATAAAAAAGTAAAAAATTATTGCCATAAAGTTGAAGGTGCCTCGGCATGGTGGGAACAACTTAGGGGCTACAAGGGAGAGAATGTTACAGCCCAAAATTAATATCTGGTAGAGGATAAAAGAGAAATTAAAGAAGAAATACCTACCGTAAAATTATCTGCCCTCCCTTTATCATAGGATGAATAACCTTCATCAAGGAGAAATGAATTTAAGTGGGCTGAGAACATCTATAGAAGATGTTGTGGTGCTACTATGTTACTGGACTTTAGATGAAGTTTACAACCTTGCAATTAAGATTGAAGCTCAGCAAAGGCATCCATCATCAAGGTGGGCGCAGCGCAGTGTGGTACAAGTGGCCATGGAAGTGTTTTTAAAGGGAGAAATTGGTATGTGGTGGTTGGACAGACCTCATGACCTGCTGGTTCATCTAAACAGCAGGATATTAGATTTTTTTTTTCATTGGGGAAGGGGTTAGGGGGGGGGGGGGTTCGTAGTTGCCCGAATCACTGAAATTTCAACATTACTAAGTGTGTCAAATGTTCGGGAATCAGATACGTCTTCTTAGCGCGTGAATAGAAAATTTGTGAACCTTGTTGAGGAGTTTCTTGAAGAAGACAGCTACCTATCTTTTGATGGAGACCATGTTTATGCTGAAGAACCTGAGAAAGAAGAGCTAGAAGGGAGATTTAGTGACCATAGTGAGGCTTTCATGATCTTGTGCAACATGATTACACCCCAAATAGCAGATGAGGCAGATTGGTTGCGCACCAATATTTTTCACATCCGATGCACAACCTATGCGAAGTTTGCAATCTTATCATTGATGGGGGCAGTTGGTGAAAATATTGTTTCTCAAGTGATCATAGACTAGATGAAGTTCTAGATAGAAAACCATAGACCACTCAACGCCATACAAGATATTTTGGTTCAAGAAAGTAAATGAGGTAATAGTTTCTAAAAGTTGTCTAGTTTCTTTTTCATTTGGAAAGCACTACAAAGATGAGATATGAGGGGATGTCATTCCTAGGGATGCGTGTCATTTATTATTGTGCAGGTTGTGGCAGTATGACATGCGCACTATTCATGATAAGTTTAAAAACACTTTCTTTGTCAAAGATGGGGGTTTTAGGTCCACATAAGAAGGAAAGTACCTCCAGATTAGATGAGAGTTGTACTAACCTTTTTTCTTTGGTGGAGTTAATGGAGAAGATCATTTCAACGTGATTTATAGCAAAAGGAAGAGAGCAAAGTCTCTAACTTGAAATCCTAGTTTGGATGTGAGGACGAACCTTAGGGTTCTTTTTTTGTTGCTTGTACTTAGCCTGATAGCTTGCTGATTTTGCGTAGGTTCTATCCAAAAACAGTAGATTGTGGACTAGGATTCTCCACCGATCTTCAATACATGCTCAGATCAGCAACAAGATCTTTTAGGAGAACCGATCTGTTATAAGGTACAAGATGAAGATGAAGATGTTTTGGAAGAGGATCTTGCCTGTGAAGAATATCAAGAGAAGGCAGTAGCAGAACTAATCAAAATCAAGGCCCACTGAAGATCTCAAGGATATCAAAGAGGTAGAATATTCAAGTGAGGTAAGCATTGGAATCAGAGTAGCACAACGGAGGCATGGTGGACTCGTAAATCGCAAATTATGGTCCTGGATTTAAAGAGTAATAAAATTAATGTCGAGAAGCCTCTTAACGGCCATAAAATTGGGTTTGAAGTTTCCTACACGCTTTTCAATGCGAGTTTAGGGATAGCTGAATTTGATAAATTTGGATAAATTTCGCACTATAGAAATGAGGATCCATTTTTTAGGATTTCGTCTTTACTACAAATAATGTTTGAGCCAATAAAGAAGAAGGTTGAAGAATATAGTTTTGATGTTGAATTCATCTTCACACACTTCAAAACTCCATAACGAGTTCTCTTCCGCTAGGGGAGTGAGGTGCAAGACGAAATAATTCTTATTTTTAATTGTTTTTTAATTTCAAAAGATGTTTATTTTAATTTTAGATTTTATTTTAGGGTCTGAAGTTTTTTAGGGATTCTCTTTGTTTTATATATATATATATATATATATATATATATATATATATGTTTTTAGGATTTTGAGAGTTGTTTTGAAAAGTAGTTTGAGTGCTTATGGAGTATTTTATTTTATCTTAGGTTAAATGCCATTACAAGTTTTGTGTTCAAGTTGGCACTATGTTGTAAATTCATTATGAATTTTGTGTTCAAGTTAAATATAAATAAAGGTGAAGGGCCTAGGGTCATTCACGTGAGTTAGGGAAGAAAAAATGGAGCTTCAGTTTGGAGCCACAGTTAGGGATTTTGGGAAGGAAACCAGGTTTCTCTCAACTTGTACTTGTGCTTTGCTGGAAATTTTTAATTTTCTGTTTACTTCATCAAATACCTACATAATTTTTCTATTTTGTAGAAACAATGAAGCAGATGTTTATTCTTTACTGCCTTAAATACAATAATCCAGATGTTTAGTTCCTTTTTGTTTTTGAGAAATTTGTTTTGATGCTTGCTCATCTGCCATAGTAGATTTATTGGAAACCTACTCTCAAGTCTAAAGGGATAGCACATATCAAGATCATCACGTCCTAGTTTCAACTATGCCATAGTTCTTAGCCTCTTTCCCTTTTTTTTGTCTTGGTAAGAATGGACTCTTTTCAGTATGATGCCTTTGGGAACAAGGTTATCCAAAGTTTCATTGATTTTTATTCCATTGACTATATTGCTTTTCTGTTAGGAACCTATGGGTTTATTTGGTTTATCTTTGAGGGTATGAATTCCTAAAACAAACGTTATAATATAATCAGTGTTGCTTGTTTGACCTTGACAATATTCTTAGTTCAGTCTGGCTTCTTTGAAGTTGTTTGCTGTCACTTATTCACAATCTTGATTGATCCTTCTCTGGCTACTTTTCTAGGGCTCTTCCTAGAGAGTTCCTAGTTGGGAAGTTTCTCACGCTTTTGCCCCCTTCACTTATCCTTTCATGTAATTGCTATATCCATTTTATGTTTTTTGTTCACCATGGTAGCATCCGACTTTGATTTCTCTTTTTATAAAAATATTAACCTGTTTCGCTCATTTAAATGCTAGCACAATAATGTGATAAAGACTTCTATTTTCTAATAATTTATACTTAAAATATGCTTGTTTTTGTCTATGATCTTGTTCCTCATTCAGTTAGCAGTTTTAATAGGCTATCCATATTGCTGGTACCAAGGGAAAGGGATCGACTGCAGCATTCATATCCAATATTTTGAGGAAAGAGGGGTATTCAGTTGGTTGTTATACTAGGTATGATGATATAATTTAATACCATTTGTTTATCATGTTTCATGCTTCAAATAGCTATTTTGTGGTTTTCCCTTTTCTTGTAGTCTTGCGTCAGCAATGTATTGAGTAATCTTTTCCACTTGATAGATTTTTGGGAGTTTGTATGTTCTTAGAAGTCATAATATATTGGTAATTGTTATGCTAATTTAAAGACTCTTGCTACAACAGCTAGCATGGAAGACATGTATCTTCCAATTGATTATGTGAATAAAAATTGCTGTCATTAGTTTAGACCTTGAATAATGTTAGTTAAATGACTCAGAAATATTCTATAGTGAATTGTAGAAATTGTAACCTCAAGTTTGATACTTGGATTAGTTAACTAGTTATCTATAAGGGCCTATTTGATAACTGGATGCAAGTTCATGAACTGTAAATTTGAAGTTCCTAAAGAACTCTAAATTAGAAATTACTTAAGAAGTTCCTGGTTTCTGTGTTTGATAACCTCCTGGGAAGTTAAGAAGTTCCTGGTTTCTGTGTTTGATAACCTCTTGGGAAGTTAAGAAGTTCCTGGTTTCTGTATTAGATAACCACTTAGGAAGTTAAAGAACTGGGTATCTGTATCGGATTTGCTTCAAGTAATAAGCAAGATGTAAAAAGTTAAAATTGAGACCTAGATATTATTTATTTTTTATTAATTTGTAGAATATTATTTTTTGGGATACAATATCAATTGAATTTTTTTATTAATTTGTATAATATTAGTTTTTGAGATACAATATCCATTGAAAGTAAAGTGTGTTGGATTGAGAGAGAAAGAGAGAGTGTTATGAGAGTTCTATTGATGAGTGAGAGAAGCGTTCTAAAGAAAGAAATATTTGTACATCAATTGAAGCAGATGTTGCATAATAAACTTCATTGCACCTTAAACTTGAAGCAGTCTGTAGACAATGTCAAGCACAACCTCAATTCAATATTATGTACCAAATCACTAGTTTCATAATCGACTGTCTCAAAAAATAGAAATCAATATATTTTCTTAACTATTGTGGGTATACAATTTGTTAAGTCTTTTTACAAATATGAATTGGAATAGGTGTTTAAATTTCATAAGTAGGTTGTCGATGACTTTTTTCTTAAACCGATTACAAACTCTCTCACCACCGTCCATATCCCAACCTCAAAAATATATCTTATTCAACAATAAAACAGCGTTGTTATTTGTCCCACAATGTTCCCAACATTAAAAAAAAAGAAAGAAAAAGATTTAAACAACAATTAGAACTTTAATGAAAGGAAAGACTAGATGCTTCGGAAGACAGTCTTGAGATGCCGAGATCCCTTGAGTAAGACATTGACACTTATTTCTTCCCCCTTCCACATGGCTTCAATCCGAAGTATTCTTGCCAACTATCTTCTCCACTTCGTTGAAGTATATAGGCAAAGACTTGCCTCTGTACTTAGTCACATAAGTAAACTCCTGCAAGAAGAACACACATGTATTGAATTTGTGTGAACATTGCACCTAAACTTGCAAAACAAATTGCAGTTGAGTACCTTATCAATATACCCAAAAAGCTTATGAGGTGTATTACTCACCATCAATCCATGCATAATACAGGCAAACAGTTATTATTCACAGAAGACCAACAATATGGCCTTTTGAACCCTTCAAAATAGATAGTCACATGAACACATGCACACACACACACACCTCTACCCCAAAACAGTCCTGAGCTGTGTTTGGATGCATGTGCTGCAGTAACAGTCTATGGTAGCAAAATGCACGCTCAAACCAAATTGAGCCTTTCATTTTGCTTTGTTCCATTTGTTTTAGATACTGAAGCATGTGGTTGAAAGCAACACTTTGACTGCCTTCTTGAAATACAAGACATTCAAAATGCTGAACGTTTGTGCATTTCTATAAAAAAAACAGAATCCAAAAGAAGAAAATTTCACCAACTAAATGAGATCACCCACACACTCGTCCCAGATGGAAGGCAAAAAAGGTGTGCGATGCAAAATACCTGAAGAATCTAAATCATGAAAGGAACATTTCCTCAAAATTTCTAGGTGTAAAGACAAATAAACTAGGGAACCATGACATACCCATTTATCAACCAATTCCTTGGCCAGCTTCCTATTTGATGTGGTCTTTTCATCAGATCATGACAAAAACATAATGACCTTGCATGGTACCGAAATCAAATTTTAGTCCCACTACTTCCATTCACAGACTACAAAGATCTGTAAAAAAAAGCTAGTTGGTAGCAAACCTTCCCCAAGCCATTTTTTTTAAGTTGTTCTGTCAAACTGCTCCACATCAATCGGCAACTGTATCATACATGCAACACAAGCATGTATCAATCAGATCAGATGCATATAGAACTAGCACTGAAGACCTATATTTCGAACAAATACAAGTAAGGCTCACAGAAAAGCAATCCAATGAATGAAGTTTAAGCATGATGAGGTGCATACATCAGTTAAGATATTCAGTAAAGCAGTTCGGACATTGATATTGGGCAAACATTCATCTAGCAGGGGCTCTAGCCAATTTTTTAGTACAGATAGCACACCGTGATCTAACTCTTGTTGGAGCTACCGTCTATAGAAACAGGCCAAATTTTGAGAAAGAACTCAAACAAGATTTAGGATATCCATAATAAAAATAATGAATAATGTAAATGCCTTTTTTTTTTTTGGAAGGAAAAACTCTTAGTAATTTCAGTGTAGGGTATTAATCAGATTAAAGTTACAATGAAGCAATGAAAGATGTCTGGCAATTTGACAGTAGATGATACATTTGACATTTGTCCTTTCGGAATCCTTATTGGGATGGAAGAGGAGGTCTCTAAGCCAACATGCTTGGATATTCCCCAAACCATCCGAAATATCACATCTTGTTGACTCAGTATCAGCAAAGAATGCATCATGAGGAATCCAATTCCCCAATAAGAGTTCCCAACCTTGTGTGTTATGTCCATAGAAGATGAGGAGATTTGGATTATTGCAATGCCTTTTCACTCAGTGGATCCAATAGTTTTTCTTTGCCAAGTCTACTCCTATCATAAATTCAGCCATAAAACCACGATTCAAGTGCATAAACACCAAAGACACTCCATTCCATCCTTAATTTCCACAAATTTCAATGTGACCATATTTCACTCAAAACGATAAGTCAAATTCCAACCTTATTCCCAGATTTAAAAACTAATGGCTTGCAAACAAAATATAAACAAAAATTTCTTTGCAAACATATTTTATAAGATAACTAGGATTCAAACCCTAATTCCCACCTTGAAAGACTAATTTTGCCATCAAACCTTACTTAGAGAGATGAAATTCAGACCTTTTTTTTGGGTAAGTAATGAAATTCAGACCTTAATTCCCGCACTGTTCACTAATGCTAGCTGCATTTTTCTGTTTCACATTTTACTCATTAGATAACTCAAATTCAAAACCCCATTTCTTTGTTTATATAAAATATCCAACGATTCACAAAATCAATCAATCTAACTTTGTAGTATTGACAATAATTTATCGCCAAACTCGAACTCCAAAAAATGTAAAAAGTAACCCAACTCCAAATTCTTTACCTTTTGAACTCTTGCCAAGCCTTCTCTCTGAAGACTTTGCCCTAATTTTCTTCTCCTTGTGCGCCCTTTCTTCCTTTGGTTTCCTCTTCTTGCTCGATCCCTCCTTTCCCTTCAACTTTCCAGCTAAAAAACCTTCGTTTTCCTTAACTTCATCAGCCCAAAAAATCATTTTCAGACGAGCTTTCCTTGTTACTCTTCTTTATGAGCCTCTTTCTAGGTTTAGCTTTAGGCTCATCTTCTTCACCAGAATCCATGACTGGCGTGGGTGATCGCTCCGTTTGCCAATCGTCTTCTTCTGGTTTTGAACCCATGTCCGGATCCATCAATGGCTCTCCATCCTCATCACGGTAACTGAATTGAAAAAAACAAAAAAAAAGGAATAATTATTATGGAAATTCACGCTGAAAAAAATGGCAAAAAAGAATTGGGAAAATCAGTGAAATAAATTGAGCTCACGGATCATCTTCATATGCCATGACTAAGAACTTGAGCTGTGGAAGAAAGACGAATCACTGGCTTCGCAGGGAAGAGAAGGGATTTTCTAGGGCTTTCAGAACAAAAATCTTTATCCGGTGGAAAATCTATGAACGAAGAGAGGGGTGCTCAACGGCGAAGAGAGGGGTGCTCAGCGGCGAAGAAGAGAAAAGAGGCTAGGGTTATCGAAGGAGAGGAAGTTACGAACTTCCAATTTTGAGTTATGCCCTTTGGGTTTTACAAAAGGACTTGAGAAGATGAACAGTAAATTGAAGTTATGATTTGAAGTTCTCATTTTTTATCAAACATGAAAGTTGAACAGTACTAAGAAGTTCTCAACTTCCAGGAAGACACTTCCTGTTATCAAGCACGCCCTAAACATCAGAAAATACTGCTTCTTTTAGATAGGAATAGCTTGTATCATCCGATAAAAAAATTTGTGAAAAAATTATTAGTTAATTTAAAACTGACACTAAATGATACGAAAATGAAGTTGCCTTTCATACTTTAAAACCTGCTCAGATGTTATAATCTCATGATGTCTATCACATTGCTGAGCTACCCGCAGTTTTATGGTACTAGGTGTGTTATTTTTGAACTTCAACAATGTGAATTGCAGGAACCTGCCAGCTTCATATGAGCTGCCATTATTGTTCATGGGGAAATCTATCCAAATACCTATGAGAGATGAATTATTTTACATTCTACCTATATCTTTTGATTTAATTTCGAAATGCTCATCCAAATACACATGGTCGTGACTTGGAATAGTTGCAATTGGGTAAAATATTAAATAGTTGATGTTGCATAAGTATTGTGATTAATTTCCCCCTTTTTTGTAGAAGTTCTAGAATCCTTGATTTGGTGATTATGATTCAAAATAGTCTCACTGAGATGATGTATGGAAATGCTGACTGAAAACCTTTCTTTTGCAATTTCATTTTCTGT